GCGCAGCGTTAACCTTCGGGCGCCTGAAAGCGTTGGGCAAGAATATGCAAATAAGATGGTAGGTCCGCCACCACGCTTGCAAAGGTAGGCGTGCGTCAAGCCCTTGACAATCAGTGAATCGCGACAGCCCTCTGGGCGCAAATTGGTTTAGCGCAACAGCTGTTCAACAAACGTGTGAGTTGCGAGCGTGAATCTCGAAGAGTGCGTTGTTGAGCTCTTGATGCTTAAGCTGCGTGGTGCAAGAGATGAGGTGCAAGCTGCGCGGTGTAAGTTCTGTAGTGCAAGCTATGTCGTGTCAGATACGTGGTATAGTCCAGCTACGCCCCTGTGTGTGCTTTCCAGTGCGGACACCAAACGATGCGTTATTGCACGGTGGAAGGGGCAAGCTATGCGGTGAAAGCTATGTGGTAAAAGCTCTGACGTGTAAGTATTGCGGAGTGAGCTGTGGAGGTGTGACTATGTGGTTAAACCTTGTGTGCTTTAAGCTACGTGGTGCAAGCCACGCCGTGTAAAATTAAGGTGCAAGCCAGAGGCGAAAAGGATGGGGCGCAAGCTATGTGGTGTAAGCTATGCTGTATAAGCAACGTGGCGCAAGCTATGCGCTGTAGGCAATGCGGTGAAGTCATGTGAAGCAAGCCGCGTCGTCGACGCTCAGAGCCCGGGGCGCCGACGGGGCGCCCACGAGGCGGAACGGGCCGTGCAACGTGGCGCAACTCCGGGAAACCCACCAAGCGCACGGGGCGCCCACAAGGGGTCCACGAGACGGCACGGGCGGCAGCGTGGCGCAACCACGCGAAAACTACCCAGCGCACGGGGCGCCGACGAGGCGCCAACGAGGCGGCACGGCACTAACGCGGCGCACCTCGGGAACCTCCCCCAGCACGCGGGAAGCCCAAGAGGCGCCGACGAGGTGGCACAAGCCCGCAGAGTGGCAAAATTTCCAGATACCCCATCCAGTTCCTTACGTGACAACAGTAAAACTCTCCAGGTACTGTGGGAAATGTCGAGATATGTGTATACATACGTATATATCGGAGGTTGGGGGGTGAGATCGCAGTGAAACGGAGGTTCCCCCACCGGGAAATCGAGTTTCGAGTTCGTGTTCGCGCCGTGCGCGCGGGCGAGGCGAAGCTGCGTGGGCCAGCGAGAGGAATTCACTCTGCTGTCGCTAGGGGTCCGCCAACACAAATGTTTCCCCCCCCCCCGGCCTTGTCAAGCGGTTGCCCACGTTGTCCCGTCGGTTGCCCGCCGGTTGCTCATCATGGTTGCTCACCATGGTTGCTCATCATGGTTGCTCATCATTGTCCCGCCGGTTGCTCATCATGGTTGCTCATCATTGTCCCGCCGGTTGCTCATCATGGTTGCTCATCATGGTTGCTCATCATTGTCCCGCCGGTTGCTCATCGACGCTGGGCGGAAGGTGCTCGTCGACGCCAGGCACCGCCAGCGTGATTCCCAAGCCAGGATAGGAGAGGTCCGGACGCACGCACCAGGCACTGCCAGTGCACCCATCGTCGACTGGGACGTCGTGGGCTGAGTGCCGCGTCGCGCATCGGCAAACCGAACGACACAAGTCGCCAAAGCGAAGGAACAAAAAAAAATCCGCCACGTCATCCACACCATCATCGCCCATCAGCACCACGTTCATCACAGTTGTCGTCATGAGCCACCCCCCTCCCCCCACCCCCCCACAACCTCCTTATCACCCGCAGGGTGGTCGCATAGGTAATACACGTGCATGTCGTGCCAGCTAAGTGGTGCAAGCTGTGTGATGTAAACTATGCGATGTAAGCTATGTATGAGATATGTGAAGCTTGGTTGACCTGTGTTCCACCACAACCACCAGGAGTGGGAGGGGGGAGAGGGGGTCCTCCTCCCCCTCGTCTTCTTCCTCCTCCTCCTCATCCTCCACCTCCTTCCCCCCCCAATGATGGTGGTGGAAAACAGGCCTATCAATGCTAGCTACGTGATGCAAGCTACTTGCTGCATCGTATCTGGTGCAAGCTATGTGGCGCACCCAGTGCGCAGGCCGCCCACGACCGGGCACCAGCCGAGCACCGGGCGAAGCCTCCACAGACCAACCCAGCGCACGGGGCACCGGCGAGGCGCCGACGACCGGGCGCCAACGGGACATCGAGCGAAAACTGACCCGACCCACCCAGCGCACAACCACCTCAACAGACCAGCCCAGCGCACGGGGCTCCCACGAGGCGCTCATGAACGGTCGCCTACCAAAATCCAGGCAAGACCTCGACAGACTCACCCAGCGCACGGGGCGCCCAGGAGACACCTGCAACCAGGCATCAACGGCCGATTACGTCAAAAGCGAAGTACGAACTCCTAAGTGGAAACACGGTTTGGGAGACAACTTCGCCTGTGGGGAAGGGTATACCGTATATCCCAATCTCGTCTGGAGGTTGGGTATAACCAACCTCGTCTGAATGAAAAGCTTCCCCTTCTGGAGGCCGGACACCCCGTCCCGTCGCTGCGATGCAACCAGCATCGCGACAACCATTCAACGGAACGCTACTATGCAGCTTCGCCAAATGCGGTGGCGATATCCGCGACAGCGCAGCTGGATATCTCGAAAGATTGAAACAATGGGCCAACAATTCTGGCAACCACGCGGTCTTGGTGTGCTCGACGGCAGGGAACCACGCGCCGTTGAAAATACATCAAGTGGCACCATCCTCCCTCCCCATATTCAGAAACGGAAAGGCGTGACACCCTCCTCGGAAATGCCCACTCTCGCCAAATGCGTGATCGGATCTCAAGGTGGCACCGCTAGGGCAAACATGCGCTACCGAACGTGAATGGATCAAAGTAGCACCCTTAGGGCTACGTGACCTGCCAATCTTGAGGGTGACCATTTGGGGGGGGACCGGCTCAGGGGGGAAAACATCGACCTGAGATCGGCGATGGGCCCCCGATAGCGAATCCGCAAGCTCCTCGGCGGGGTGGGACACTGGGCCCCGGCCATTCATGAATGGGCGATTGGGAGCCGATGAATCCCCCCTGAACGTGCCCCCGCCAGTGGGGGCTTTCGGGCCGTAACTCGGGCCTCCGGCGGCAGATCGGGACGTGCCGGGCACCCGGAGACGCCCCATCGGCGAGGCGCAGCTGCCGGAGAGCCTCCCGAGGCCGGGGAGCCTCCGGGAAGCGACGAGAGCGCCCGACAACCGCGAGCCTCGGCCCAGATCCGAGGACCTCGAGCCTCGAGCCTCGAGCCTCGAGCCTCGAGCCTCGAGCCTGTCCTCCCCCCAGAGCGCCGCCCCCAGGGCCTGGCCTGCACGGCCTGCGGCGCCCCGCGGTCGCCGCGTCCCCGCAGGGCTCCCGCGCTCCTCTCGGCCTCCTCCACGGCAGGGCGGAACCTGAACGGTGTTTCTCGATTCCGTTCTGTTTTCGTTTCCCCTTCAATCCACCTCTAGCGCAAACCGAAGTCGAAACGAAAACGGCCCACGAAGTCGCCAAAACAGCGTTTCGGTCCAGCCCTGCTCCATGGGTGCCTCCCAAATTGGGTCCGAGTAGATGGGGTCGGAGGATCGCGCCGAGTCGACGATGTATCGCGCCGCACCGCCGATGCATCGGCGACGCAGCGCGATCCTACGGCCCCATCTACTCGGACCCCATCTGAGAGGCCTAGAATTCAACCCCACCCCCGCACCCCCCCGGAAAATGACCCCCTCGCCTTGCTCCTCATCTTCCATCTTGCCTTCTCCCTCCCTTCAAAGACTCAATAAATCGGCTTCCGCGGTGCGGGCGTGTCCAAGATGAAGTCTTCCACTGCATGGAAGCCATCTGGCAGAGGACCATCCAGGGCATTACCATCCTCTGAATTATGTCGATTGGAGATGGGCCGTGGGCCGCCGCGCAGCGCGATTGAAGCCGAAGAGGGCTGAGCCGGTAAAAGTGAATCAACGAACTAAGTCGACACGAAGCATTCTAGTGCTCCTGCAAAGCCAGGAATACAAGGAAAGTCGAGGGGCGCACTGCCTATGTATCCTGTGATGCATCTGCCCTCGAGAGCTGAGCCCAAAAGCTGCCGACGCCGCGACTCTATAGATATGTCCCCGCAAGTAGTTCTGCGGCTGACATGAATAGAGCAGGGACCGACCGTCCTGGCATTCCTACAGTCCTACCACGAAATGTTCTTAGAACCTCAAAACGTTCTAAGAACAAAAACAATGCTCTTAGGACATGAACCTCATGTGTTAACACAAGACAGACTCCGCCAGAAATGTTCTGAGAACATTCCATGGAAGCCAGAAAAGGTTATTAGAACATTGTTTGGTAGGGCTATCGGCGAGCCAGGACGCTTCGCCACTGCTTGAATAGACATATCCCCTGCGAGTGGTTCTGCGGCCGACGTGAAGGAAAGCCCGCGCGGGTCGGCGCCGCCGGCGCGCTCCGTGCGTTAGGGAGAAGCACCCACCGCCGATCCAAGAATGAAGGGGCCTTGGGACACACGAATAAATACACACAAATGACGGAACTCCCCATATTTTCCCACATGTCCTGGGTTTTTGTCTTCCCTCCCACTTCCCATATTCTCCCACATTTCTTGGGGAATCGACAATGAATTGTGTCTGTGTGTTGCTTCCCCTCCTGAAAGAAGTCTGCCTGGCATGGCTCCTTCCCTCGAGAGGCGCAGAGCCCACGCACAGCGGAGGCCAGTCCACAGGAAAACCTTCCACAAGAAACCCAAGCCTGAGACCCCAACACGTCCATTGACTTTTGGTGTGGGAACGTCACGCTCTCCATAGCAAAACCTTCGAAGCCCAAGAAGCCCAGGGCACCCTGGAGGCAAGGAGGGTGCTTCTTGGCATGGCCCTCCGCTGCGCTTACAGGGCCCAGACCCAACGAGCACCAGAAGCTGGAAAGGCACGCGCGGCTGGATCCGCCTGCGGGATGTCCGGAGGCCACGCGCTGGACGCGCGTGCAGAGGCCCGTGCGCCTGCACGACCACTGGAGGGCCGAGGGCTGGGAAGACGCCTGGCTACATGCCTGGGGGGGAAGCGGGGGCAAAGGGGCCGGAGGAAGATCGCTCCAGACGGACCCTGTGAGAAGGGCAGGTGAGCATCCAGCTGGGCTCGACCCCTCACCCTACCTCTGGGGGAAGAAAAGATGGCGATATCGCTACTCCAGGGGCCTCTCCTGGGGTGCATTCTGACCAGAACCTCAGGGAGAATTCAGCCGTGTGGTGACGAGGGCTCTCCAGGACGAGCAGCGGCATCGGCATACCTTCCTCCTCTGAGCCCTCGCATGGCCCGCATCTGCATGACCCCCGCATGAGCACCCAACTCTCGCCCAGGCTGGGCCGCACCATGCGAGCCCAGCTTCCCCGCACGTTCCCCGTACCAGCAGGGAGGACCGGCTCAAGGGGGAAACATCGACCTGGAATCGGCCAAACATCGCCGATGGATCGGCGGTGGGCCCCCGATAGCGAATCCGCACTCTCCTGCTGGGCGGCGTGGGCGTGTCAGGCCCCTCTCAGCGATGAATGGGCGACTGGGGGCGGGCGCGTCCCCCCCTGAGCATGCCCCCGCCCCTGGGGGCTTTCGGGCCGTAACTCGGGCCTCTGGCGGCACGTCGGGACGCTCCGGGCACCCCCCGACGCCTCCCGCGCAGCCGCTGGAGAGCCTCCCGAGGCTGGGGAGCCGTCGAGAACCGAAGAAAACCTCACACCGAATCAAACCACAAAAAATCCGAACCTCGAGCCGACACCCCCACGCTGCCCCTGAGCGCGGGCCCCCTCCACGTCCCTAGGGGAACAAACCATGGCATAATCATGCAGGCTCGAAGACCCGCGCGGATTCCTCGGATCGGCGCTGGGGTCCCCCCGGCGGCGCCTCTGGCGCCGCCCCTGGCGCGTTCCGCGCGCCAGGGGGGGGGCCCCAGCGCCGATCCGAGGAATCCGCGCGGGGCGGCGCCTCCGCGCCGAGGCGGCCCGGCGGCCCGCGAGGCAGCGGCGCCGGCCGCCGCGAGGCAGCGGCGCCGGCCGCCGCGAGGCCCGCGGTGGCGTTCGCGGCCCTCCAGTGGCGCCCGCTGGCCGTCCCGCCGGCCTCGGCGGCCGCCCGCAGAGCCTCGAGCTGGGCGGCGGCCGTGGGCGTTGCTGGAGGGGGGGCGACAAGCCCAGGGAGCTTTCCTTCAACAGAAAAATCACGACAGCGGGTTATTCACGCTTTTCGGCCCCTGGGGGCTTTTTACGGGCCCTGGGGCCGCCAAAGAACGGATCATGATGGAAAGGGTCCCAGGGCAGGGGCCGTGGAATTGTCCCCCAACAGTGTTTGCATCTCGGGGGTCCTGCTTGTCGTTCAAGGAACTGGCCGTGTGTCGCGGAATGCCAGCTGGGTTGTCGCCGTCGCCGCCAAGTCGCCGCCTTGTCGCCGCCCGTCGTCTGGGTCTGCGTGGCGGTCTGGCAGTATGCTGTCGCCGTCGCCGCCGTGCCGCCATCTCGGCATGTGTGGCGTTCTGGCGGCTATGTTGTCGCCGTCGACGCCCCGTCGCTGCCTCGTCGCCGCCAGTCGTCTGGGCCTGCGCGGCGGTCTGCCAGCTATGTCGTCGCCGTCGCCGCCCCGTCGCCGCCCGTCGTCTGGGCCTGCGTGGCGGTTTGGATGCTATGTTGTCGCCGACGATGCACCGTCGCCGCCCGTCGTCTGGATCTGTGTGACGGTCTGGCGGCTGTCGTCGCCGTCGCAGCCCAGTCGCCGCCTCGTGTCGAGAAGCGCAAATCGAGTGAGCCTGCGTCGCGTTCTGGCGGCTCTGTTGTCGCCGACGCCGCCCCGTTGCCACCTCGTCGTCAAGCCTGTGTGGCAATCTGGCGACTGTGTTGTCGCCGTCGCCGCCCCGTCGCCGCCTCGTCGCCGCCCGTCGTTTGGGCCCGCGTGGCAAACTGGCGGCTGTGTAGTCGCCGTCGACGCCCCGTCGCCGCCTCGTTGGCGCCCGTCGTCTGGGCTGCACTGTTTGACATTGCTATGCCGTGTGTCGCACTGTCTGGCGTCATGGAAGTTATGTTGTGGCCGTCGCCGCCCCGTCGACGCCCGTCGTCTGGGCATGTGCGGCCGTCTCGCGGCTATGTTGTCACCGTCGCCGTCCCGTCGCTGCCTCGTCGCCGCCAGTTGACTGGGCTTGTGTGGTGGTATGGCGGATACGTCGTCGCCGTCGCTGCACCGTCGCCGCCCCGTTGGCGCCCGTCGTCTGGGCGTGTGCGGCGTTCCAGCGGCTATGGTGTCGCCGTCGCCGCCCCGTCGCCGCCTCGTCGCCGTCCGTCGTCTGGGCGGCGTCGCCGCCCGCCGTCAGGGCTTGCGCGGCGGTCTGCCAGCTATGTCGTCGCCGTCGCCGCCCCGTCGCCGCCTAGTCAGCGCCCGTCGTCCTGGCCTGCGTGGCGGTCTGGCGGCTATGCTGTCGCCGTCGACGCACCGTCGCCGCCCGTCGTTTGGGCCCGCGTGGCAGTCTGGCAGCATGGCGTCGTCGTCGCCGCCCCGTCGCCGCGTCGTGAGGCGCCAATCGAATGAGCCTGCGTGACGTTCTGGCGGCCATGGTGTCGCCGTCGCCGCCCCGTCGCCACTTCGGCCGTCTCGGAGCGATCTGAAGGGCCTCTGACGCCATCCGGGACTGTGGGGCGGCGGAACATGCGAGAGCGCAACAATGCGTCCAAAACCAATAGGACATGCATGATGTTCAGCTTCTGGGGCCCTTTGGAGGGGCCTCTGGAGGTGCTCTTGGGGCGTTTTGGCGGCGTCGTCGGCCGCCCTGAGGCCATCTTCGGCGTGTCTGGGGCCTCTTGGGACTCTTGGCAATCTTTAGGGCCCTCTTGGTGTGTCGTGGCGTGTTTGGGAGCGGGCCCGGGCAGTCCCGGGAGCACTGGGACCGTTCGGTGATCCCCACAGGCCGACCCTTTCGGGCCGTCTGGGGCCCTCTTGGGTCTCTCTTGGGCTGTTTTGGGGCTCCTCGGGGGCGTCTGGGGCACTGCGAAGACGAAGCCAGCAAGTATGCTGAAAATGCACGTTTTACAAAAGGAAATGGGCCGACTTGTGCCTCTTGAAGGCCCTCTTGGGGCCCTCTTCGGCCATCTTCGAGCCATCTCGGGCCCTCTGGGGCCTCGCTGAAGCTGTCTTGTGGGCCTCTTGGGCGTCCTCGGAACCCAGAAATCATGTTCCCGGGGAGGCTTCCGGGAACATGATTTCGATCGAGGCCCTCTTGGGCCTCCCTGAGGCCGTCTTGGGGACCTCCTGGGCCGGCTTCGGGGCCTCTTGGGCCGTCTCGGGGGGTTCGGTGATCCCCACAGGCCGACCCTTTTGGGCCGTCTGGGGCCCTCGTGGGTCTCTTTTGAGCTGTCTTGGGGCTCCGCGGGGGCGTCTGGGGCACTGCGAAGACGAAGCCAGCGAGTATGCCGAAAATGCACGTTTTATAAATGAAATTGGCAAATGTTTGCCTCTTGAAGGCCCTCTTGGGGCCCTCAGGGGCCCTCTTGGGGCTCTCTTGGGGCCCTCGGGAGACCATTTGGGGCCTCTTGTGGCCTCTTCGGAGGCTTCTGGAGACTGACGGCTGGCATTTTCGGCGAGGGGGGCACGATCCTCGTGATGGGTACCAAAAAATGGCTGGGGGGGCCCCCATGGCGACCAGAGGCAGCAGCCAGGCCCCCCCCCGGCCTACTCCGATATATATATATATATATATATATATATATATTAGAGAGAGAGAGAGAGAGAGAACAAAATATACCTATATATATATATATATGTATATATATGTATAAAAATATAGAAATGTATATAGGTCGCAACGCATACGTAGAGCGAACCACATCGATTCTCCTTTCGAAAAAAATAGCTCTACCCCCCCCCCCCCCGCGTTATCCGCCCCCCCATTTCCGGGCATGTAGATCATATATGATTATGCCCACATGTCCATCCGAACTATAAATTTACAGTATCCCAGAGGGGCCGGGATCGCCCCCCTGAGGTTCCCTTGTAGAAAACAATACGCGGGGACATCTTTTGTTCTAACATAAGACTTGTTCACGAAACCCCGGCAAAACATTGGACGAAATGCACACGCGCGCGTCGTCGCGCGCGCATGCCGAAATCCTTCAAAAACCTTCGGTGTCGGAAGGATTTCGCAATCGAGTTTCCAAACAAAAAATACAAAAACACAGGGTTTTGCAACACTGATTTGCTAAAAAAGCTTACGCGCGAGCTCTTGCGAAATCTTAAGGAAACCATAAGATGTCAAGATTTTCGCAAAATGCTACCAAACGGGATTCGCGCGCGCATGTCGAAATCTGTCAAACGCCCTTGCGCGTGTGCCGTCGCGAGAATCCTCTGCGAAAAAAAAGACGAAGTGCAGACGCGCGCGTCGTCGCGCGCGTATGCTGAAATCCTTCAAAACCCATCGGTTTCGGAAGGATTTCAAAATCGCGTCCAAAAAAACTACAAAAAACACAAGGTTTCGCAAAACGGATTTTAAACAAAAGCGTGCGCGCACGCTCTTGCGTCGTCGTCGTCGTCGTCGCTGTCCTCCCTCCTCCTGCGTCGTCGTCGTCGTCGTCGTCATCGTCGCCTACGTGGTCCTCTGTCGTTCCTCGTGTTCGTCGTCGTCGTCCTCTTTGGCGTCGTGGTCGTTTCCGTCGTCGTTGTCGCCGTGGTCGTCCTTTCTGCTCCTCCCTCGTCGTCGTCGTCCGTCGTCGGCGTCTCGTCGTCGTCCCTCCTATTTCGTCGCCGTCGTCGTCGTCGTCGTCGTCGTTGTCGTCGTCGTCGTCTTCCCTCCTCCCTCGTCGTTGTCGTCGCCGGCGTCGCCGTCCTTCCTCCTTCTTCGTCGTTCGCGTCGTCGCCGTCCTCCCTCCTCCCTCGTCGTTGTCGTCTTTGTCGTCATTGTCGCCGTCGTCGTCCTCCCTCCTCCCTCGTCTTTGTCTTCGTTGGCGACGTCGTCGTCGTCTTCGTCGTCGTCGTTGGCGTCGGCGTCGTCGTCTTCGTCGTCGTCGACGTCGGCGTCGTCGTCGCCGCCGTCGTCGTCGTCGTCGTCGTCGGCGTCGTTGACGTCGTCGTCGTCGTCGTCGGTGTCGTCGTCGTCGGCGTCGTCATCGTCGTCGTTGTCGTCGTCGTCGTCAGCGTCGGCGTCGTCGTCGTCGTCGGTGTCGTCGTCGTCGTCGTCGTCGTTGCCGGCGTCGTCGAAGTCGTTGGAGACGTCGTCGTTGTCGTCGTAGTCGTTGTCGGCGGCGTCGTCGTCGTCATTGTCGCTGTCGTCGTCGGCGTCGCTGTCGCTGCCAAATGCCATGTGGTACCCACCGTCACGGTCTTAAGAGATTTTGCAAACCAAGTTGCGGGTGGGTGGGTGGGATGTTTTCAAGAGCATGGGGTGTGTCAAATCATGGGTAAAAATCAATTGCACAACCTAGATTGCATCACGTCGATTGCACCAAATAGATGGCTCCACATACATTGCTCCATGATGCTTGCACGACCTTATTGCTAGAGCTGCACTTTGTGGGATCCAAACTTAGGGGAACAAAAGGTGACACAAACATAAAAACTCGGAGGTCCGCGCGGGGGCCCCCCCGGCGGCGCCTCCGGCGCCGCCCCTGGCGCGCTCCGCGCGCCAGGGAGGGGGGTCCAGCGCCGATCCAAGAAATCCGCGCGGACCTCCGAGTTTTTATGTTTATGCCACTTTTTGCTCCCCTAGCACTGGCTAGCATTGTTATTGCCCAACCCTGATCTACAACGAACGTCGAGCTCGGGCCAACCGCCGAGCTCGGGGAGCGTTACAGGAGGGGGGAGGCGAAGAAACGACCGCCTGTCGTGCCCTGCCGGGGCCCCGGGTGGCCCCTTCAGGGCCCCTGCGGTGCACGAGGGCGCACCTCTCTGCACCTCCCCATGGATCGCCCCCGCCCCCCCAAGCATGACGCGGCTCCCGAGGGCCTCGCGAGGGTGGCGGGCCGGGGCCTCGGCCCCTCCCCGCAGCCCGGCGACCTCACCTCGTCCCCGTGCCGCGCGGCGCGAAGGCCTCGCGCCACCCGGCGATCTTCTGCCGGGCGCTCTCGGCATGGCGCCTGCGGTCTTCGGGCCGGCTTGGGGCCGTCTGCAGGAGTGCCTGCGCATGGCCTTCCCCTGCGAGCCTGCGCTCAATCGGGATGTCCAGGTCGTTGGGGCCCAGGCCGAGGGACTCCACAGCGGCGTTGTAAGACGCCTCGTCGTTGGGGTCGGGCTGCCTGTACTCCTCGAGGGGCTCCGGGTTGCAGTCCTGGGTGGCCGCATAGATGTCCATGGCTATAGACATGGCCGAGTTTATGGCCTCGACGACGTCAACCACGCAATTGAAGGGGGCATTCACGCAATCCGCCGCCGCAGCAACCAGGTAGATTGCAAAGTCGGAGAAGTCGGCTATGGTTTGCGAGACCTCAACGGCACAACTGTTGTCGATGCCTCCGCAGGTGAATGTCGAGCTGGAGATCGTTGCAGCGACATTAGCCATCTGCTGTATCGCGTCCATGATGTCACTCGAACAATCCAACTCATCTAAAGTTGGAGGTGTGCAATCCACGGTGGAAAACTTGATATCAGCAGCAGCAGTGGTGATTTTCTCGATGAGGTTTGACATGTCTTCCGCGCACCCCACCGGATTGGCCGCTCCCGCTCCCGCTCTCACCAATAAAGGTATACTCAGCCAGATGAGCGCGAAGCAAACGACGACGTTGGTCATTGCGGCGCGCCTGCACAAAACTCTCGGCGCGGCTGTTGAATTAGACCATGCATTGGGCCATCACCTCGAGGCGCTTCGGCTCTGGGCGGACAGGAAGGGGCAGGAGGAGGGAGGGGGGGAGAGGCGGGCGCGGAGGCCAGAAGGACGACGGCTCCAAGAGCCCAGGCTTCTGCCCTCCCCTCTTCCTCGAGAGGAGGAGGGCGAGCACGACGAGGAGGGGGAGGACGACGACGACGAGAAAGGGAGGGCGAGGAGGGTGGGCAGCGAGAAGCCCCCCGCCCACGAGGAGGCCCTCTGCGCGCTGCGGGCGCAGTGAGGGTCGGTGCCCTCGGGCGGCGCGGGCCAGTCGCGGCGGGTGGAGGAAGAGGGCCCGGTGGCATCGCGCGAGGGCCTGCCACACCATCGTGTGGGCCCTTGCGAATCGACGCCACATCCGCGCGGAATCGACGCCTCATCGGCGCTGAATCGACGCGAGATCGGCGCTATGTCATCGACTCCCAGACGCTAACCGACGCCAGTGCACTCGAAACACGAAACTGCAAGGGAACACAAACCCCGCAATTATCTGCGACCGAACAGTGGAGAAAGAGGAGGCCACGGAGCAGCAAGATGGCGATCATCGTCAGCGTCATCGTCATCGCCGCCGCCGCCATGGTGACCCGGGGGGCTCCTGGCGGGGGGTGGGGGGCCCCCCCAGAGCCCCAAGTAGACGCCAGGGCCCCCAGCCGGGAGCCCCTGGATCACCAGGTCGGGGGTGGGGGTCCTGGCTGGGGGTGGGGGTGGGCGGTGCTGTCCTCAAGGAGAGGCTGCATAATGCCGCGTCAGGTTTGACCGAAGCTGCACTTCGACCTGCCTGCGGATCGATTCCATCACGGCTCCAGGAGCCGCACAGTGGCCACTGTCACTGAAGGGGAACTGGGACACACAAATAAATACACACAAATAAAATTATCCCCCATATTTTCCCATATTTTCTGGGTTTTTGTCTTCCCCCCCACTTCCCATATCTTCCCATATTTTCTGGGAATCGCCGATTAATTGTGTCTGTGTGTTTTTTCCCCTCCTGAGTCATATCCACCCTGCCCTCTCCCCTCCCCGCCCAGGGCGAGCACCACCTGGACAGAAATGGAAGGCAGCGCGGGCGGCACGCGTCGGGAGGCTTCGATTCGATTCGAACCAACCATGCGCCACAGCATTGACCTTCGAGTGTCTCGTAGCTCCCCTCATCTGCGCTGCCAGTACTTTCAACGATACGCCGCACCAGAACACCGTGTTCGGCACAACGGTTTGGATAAACCGAAGGCGTGTCGCTTTGAGTGTTTCCGTCTTCGGTGTAGCTGCAGACAGCGACGAGCAATTAGTCCCAACCGCGCGGATCTCCGACTCGAGCTCCTTGAAGTGCACTGGGACCAACGCACCCACGATTTCGAAGCCGTCACAACATGCCCCTGGAGGACGCGAGAGGAAGGAGGCACGAGGAGGGCGGAGGGACACGACAGAACATCCTGATCCGCTTCGGCTGTGCTCGCAGGCGAGCGTTGGCAATCAGACGCGAGGCACCTGCAGCGGAACGGCCAGAAGGGGCAGGTGAGGGGGAGAAGGGAGGGCAGGGCTGAAAACGAGGAGCGGGGAGCGCGCAGCCGGGATGGAGAAATGGAGGACGGACGATCGAGGCCACGGCTCCTTGTCCACCCGCGACTCGTCATCCCGGCGGCGCGTCTTTGCGTCCTGCTCCGCCCGCATTGCCTGTGCCGCCCGGCAGCGGGCCCCACGGGAGGCGCCGAGTGGCCAACCAAAGCAAGAGGACGATGAAGAGACGGTACGCCACAAAAATATGTACACAGACACCCTGCGACGAATGTTGCATGTACCTTCAGGGAGGGCGGCGGTGCATGAAGTCGCTGGCTTTCTGTGGTGATTTATACACCGCCACACTCCCAGGAGTCCTAAGGACAATCCATTGGAGGGTGTCTGTGTACATATGTTGTGGCGGAGACGGGGAAGGGTGGGGAGTAGAGGGGAAAGAAGGACGAACCAGAGGAAGGGCAGGGATCAGCAGCACAAGTAGCGGTCGCGATCGCAATCGTAGTCGGACCCGTGGGCGTCCAGCTGCCACAAGCGCCCTCCCTGTCGTGTGAGATACTTCTGGAATCTGCGCAACCCGTGCAAGAACGAGGCGGCAGCCCACGCTGCGCACGACCAGGGCACTTGGGGCCTCCTCCTCCTCCTCCTCCTCTTCCTCTTCGGTTTTGTTTTCTTATTACTCTTCTTCGTGATATCATTATTATGCTGCATTACTATTATTATTCTTACTATTAATATGATTACAGTTGCGATGAATAGTATTATTCGTATTCGTATTCCTCTGATTGGTGTTCTTCTTCGCCCTCCTCCTCCTCCTCCTCCTCCTCCTCCTCCGCTTCCTCCTCGTCCTCCGCCTCCTCCGCCAACTCCTCCTCCTCCGCCTCCTCCTCCTACTCCTCCTCCCTCCTCCGCTTCTTCATCTTCCTCTTCCTCCTCCCTCTCCTGTTCCTCCACCCCCTCCTCTCCCTCCGCCTCCTCCTCCTCCTCCTCGGCATCAAAATCATCATCCTCATCATCAGCAGCAGCAGCATCAGCATAATCATCATCATCATCATCATCATCATCATCATCATCATCATCATCATCATCATTATCATCATCATCATCATCATCAGCAGCATCAGCACCAGCATCAGCATCAGCATCATCATCATCAGCATCCTCATCATCAGCATCATCATCAGCATCGTCATCCGCAGCAGCATCATCTGCATCATCATCATCATCATCATCATCATCATCATCAGCAGCAGCAGCAGCATCAGCATCAGCATCAGCATCATCATCAGCACCATCAGCATCATCATCATCATAATCATCAGCACCAGCAGCATGATCAGCATCATCATCATCATAATCATCAACATCGTCAGTATCATCATCATCAGCATCATCATCAGCATCGTCAGCAACATACTATGCGTCGCCATCGTAATCGCCATCATCACCAACAACAGCAGCATCATCAGCATCATCATCAACATCATCATCGTCTGCATCATCAGCAGCATCATCAGCATCATTATTAGTATCATGATCATGATCATCATCATGAGCATCAGCATCGTTATCATCATCATGATAACCATCATCAGCATCATCAGCATCGTCGTCATCATCATCATCGTCATCATCACCATCACCATCATCATCAGCATCATCAGCAGGTGCAGCATCATCATCAGCACAATCGCAAACATCATCATCACCAACATCATGATCAGCAGTATCATCATGATCATCATAATCTGCATCAGCATCATCATCACCATGATGATCAGCAGCAGCATCACCATCATCATCACCATCAATATCATCATTATCATCATCATCATCATCATCATCATCATCATCATCATCATCATCATCAGCAGTTGCAGCATCATCATCAGCACAATCGCCAGCATCATCATCACCATCATCATGATCAGCAGTATCAGCATGATCATCATAATCTGCATCATCATCATCACCATGATGATCATCAGCAGCATCACCATCATCATCACCATCAATATCATCATCATCATCATCATAATCATCATCATCATCATCATCATCATCATCATCATCATCATCATCTCCATCCACCGTCTCCTCCTCCGCCTCCTCCTCCACCTTATTCTCCCTCTTTTCTCCCTCCTCCTCCTCCTCCTCCTCATACTCCCCCTCCTCCTCCACCCCTCATCCTCCTCATACCCCTCCTCTTCCTACCCCTCCTCAGCGGCAGCACCATCATCATCATCATCATCATCATCAGCATCGTCATCATGATCATCATCATCATCTTCATCATCAGCACCATCATCATCAGCATTGTCGTCGTCATCATCAACATCATCATCAGCAGCATCATGATCATCATCATCATCATCATCATCATCATCATCTTCATCATCAGTATCATCAGCATCATCATCCGCATCAGCATCCTAACATCATCATCATCGTCACCATCATCACCATGATCAGCATCAGCATCATCATCGAAATCATCAGCATCCTCATCATCATCAGCCTCATCATAACCATCCTCATCACCATCACCATCACCAGCATCATCATAATCAATATCATCAGCATCATCAGCATCATCAGCATCATCAGCATCAGCCTCATCAGCAGCAGCAGCAGCGGCAGCAGCAGCAGCAGCTGGCAACCTCCGAAAACTATTGGGAAACCAGCGTAGCGTTGACCTCTCATGGAGTCTCCCTCTGTACCTCCGCCAATTTCCGCCGAGCTTCCACCGTCGCCGTTTTACTTGCGTTGGCTTTCGCCGAGGGCGAAAAATTCACCCTTCGAATCCTCATATTTCACCGATACACATCTCAATGGCGCACGGCGGATCGGACCGAAACTGGATTCCAAGGGTCACATCTACCGGGAATCCGAGCTCCTAAATTGGCCAGGCCTCGGGGCCACTGGCGAAAGCCCATGGAAGGCTTGGCCAAACTTGGTGCCGGCACATCACTGACTCCTCCCGCGAACTTGACGCGACGCCCCGTGACTTCCGAACCCGCTGGCCTTGAAGGCGACGTGATATCACTTCATTTTTGCGCAAAAGAATGGCGAGGTGCAGCAGCAGTAGTCTGGCTGATGGGACGCAAGGAAAATCCGCCCACCCCTTTGGGTGACTAGCGTGTGGAATCGACGGGTCACTGGCCTCATGCAATGCCCAGCTACGCTCGCCCGTTTGACAAGTGGCCCGGATTGACATATTTGCCACTGGCAACAAAGAGGATTCCAGCCTCCCCGAGTGTTCATCTGACAAGTGACACAAATTGTCAAATGGGTCATCGGCGACAGCGTTGACAGGACATATCTAAGCCCAGAAACGGGAGATCTCGGGCAAAATTGGTTGAACCACCTCAGGTCTGGGGTCTGGGCATCCCCGAAAACACAGTCCCGACAATGTCTCAGAGGATGCCTCAGCATCGCGTCACCATTTCCACCACCACCACCACCACCATCATCATCATCAGCATCATCATCAGCATCATCATCATCATCATCATCATCAGCATCAACAACATCAACATCATCACCATCACCATCACCATCACCATCGACATCACCATCACCATCACCATCACCATCACCATCACCATCATCATCACCATCACCATCACCATCACCATCATCATCATCATCATCATCATCATCATCATCATCATCATCATCATCAGCATCATCATCATCATCGTCATCATCATCATCATCATCATCATCGTCATCGTGATCATCCTCATCGTTATCAGCAGCAGCATCATCATCATTATCATCATTACCACCACCATCATCATCATCATCATCATCATCATCACCACAACCACTACCGCCACCACCACCACCAGCACCATCATCATCATCATCATCAACATCATCATCACCATCAGCATCGTCATCATAATCAGCATCAGCAGCAGCATCACCATCAGGGCCGAGCTGGCCATGAAAACGTCGCCGCATATCGTCGCGAGGAACAGCGGGCCTAGAGATTCCAGTCCTGGGCGCAGTCGCCATGTATGCCGGTGCTTCCTATTTGGTCGCCTCAAAGCCTTTCGGGCGGGCGCTCGTCGTCTAAAACCGCTATCTTCTGCCCGGCCTTCGTCTTGGCAGCCCTTGCGCCGCCGGCGCCCCCCCCCCGCGGCGGGCCCGCCCCCGCCCGCGTCCGCGGGGGGCCCATCTCCGAGTCGGCCTCGCGCCTGTCGCGAGAATGATAGCGTCGATATTCCTCGGCTGCGTCGCCAGAAACCGAGGAGGGCCCTTCATTTTTCTCGCCGATCGAAGGTCGCCATGGAGTCGCATAGCACCAACTAGCAGCCTTACCACGGACGAAACTGCGCGTCTCCTGCATGTCCACGCGGTGCTCGCACAATCCAACTTTTTCCCATGATGCATGCCATCTCGATATCCCTGCCCGAGAGATCCAGGACATTCTTGGGCCTCCCCGAGGGGCCCAAAACTGCGCGAACTCGCCAATCGTGAACGGCGGGCTCACGCGCGCCCGCAGCCCCACGCGCCAGCCTCGCGCGCGCGCGGCGCAGCGGCGCAGCCGCGGCGGGCAGGCGCGGGCGACGCGAGTCCAAAGCTGACCTCCTGAGCTCGGTCCTCGAAGCTCTCGCTGCCCCTCGAGCAGCGGCGGGCCAGCTCCTCCGGCGCCTCCGCGCTCGCAAGCAAGCGAATCGGCTTCATCCGCGTTGCTTCGAAAACGCAACGCACGATCTCCACCGCGAAGACACCCGACCGGGCCATCAAGCTGACCATCTTGGCGACATCCCACACCATGGAGCCACTTGGTTTTTTCGAGGAGGGGGCCCGCGCCAGCTGCTAGACGCGCGCAGCGCATCGACGCCGCCGGCGGCGCCAAAGCGCCTCCCCCTCGCACCCGCCGCGCCCGCTGAGGCGAGAGGCCGGGGGGGGCCCGGTTTAAGCGACCAGCGGCTCGATCGGCGGGCCCCCCGAGCTCATGGACAAGATGGGCTGGGAGGCGCCACGTGCGCCAAGATAAACGCCCGACATAAAATGCCCAGGCGCACCTCTTCGGCGAAGGACAAGCCCACGAGGTCGCAGCGCGGGCTCCGCGCGTCGCCCGCGAAGAGGGCCTCGCACCGGCACTTACTCGGCACCTCCCCCCCGCAGCCGCCGTTGCCAGCAAACGC